GAATTGTGCGTGCAAAGGTTGACAGTTGGCCTTGCGTTTATGTAGTGAGCGCCTCTGTAAATGCCAAATGTCCCTTTGTGCATTTGTCTTAAGGATTTACCAGCTGGAGTTCTTGTTTTCCATTTAAGCCTGAAGAGACTCTGTGGCCTAAAACAATGCAGACATTTAAAGGGTAATCAATGGCAGACTGAAACTGGTGGTTGACACTTCTGTGGTTGGAACAGAATCTCTGGCTAGCATCCTTCTTGCCCAGTCTGCAGTTTCGGGGTGGTTTTTCCTCCAAGGAAACCAGTTTTGTCAAGTACAACACAAGCATGAAGAAGGAAGGATACAATGCGCAAGCACTCTTAAGGTTTGGCAAGCACTCGGCCCACCTTTCACTCATATTGGTTCCAATAAGTCCTGCTGCGTTTTTAGACATTCTCCAATGGCCATTGCCAATGCTTGTGTAACCCGGTTTCTTTTTATGATACGTGGGGACCAGCTGTGGTCGAAGCAGCAACTCGGCTGTATTCCTTCATGCCCTTAGAGCCAGGTGCGGCTGCAGGTGCTGGGTTGGTGTCTGGATTCAGTGGCAGGCTGAAGGAGGGCCAACGAGCTGAGGGTAGCCAGAGAGAACGCCTGCAGTTGATGGTTCCCACATCCACGAACTGGAAGGCTGCCTGTGCTGGATGGGCTCCCAACCCGGCTGAAAGAGCAGGCACATAGCTGTGGGGTGCTGCTTGACCCCCGGTGGCCGTCTGAGATCCAGAAGGCCTCCGCCAGGAGGGAAGAGATGGGATGCCCTGGGCACAGTGGCTCAAGCTTTGGTCACCCCGCATGTGGAACCGGTGCACTGTGATTCATGCGGGGCATGCCTGGCGCAATCAGGTCACTGAGCTACTCAGAAGCCTCACCGCTTGCGGGACGTGGTGGCCAGGAATGCAAGTGGGGGAGCCGTGTGTGATCGTGCCGCTCAAGGGGCTGGATTCGTGCTGCCGGCACTTCCCCTGAAGCCTCTGAACAGTTTGGGGCCCGAATCCCTGCAGGGGCGCCTCTCCCTGGTCCTCAGATCTGGCCTGGGCTTTGTAGCAGCCCTGGGAGACGCTTCTCCGGGGACCGCAGTGCGTTGGGTGATGCCCAGGGAAGGAGCTACCTCTGGTGTGCAGCTGTGACTGGCACGGCTGGTACTTTCCTTTCAGCACCTTAGCAAACCTATTCGTTTCCCCAGGCATTCTAGCTAGTTTGTTAGACTAGTGATTTTATAGGTTTCCAGGAGTATAGCTTTAGTATTCTTACCACACATCATATTAGACCACATTTCTGTATGTTATTAATTAAATTTGCATCCTGAGCTGGCCTCGTGCAAAAGGGTGGCATAAATGTGTCATAATAAGAAACGATAAAATATGACTGGTTTTTTTCTAAGGAAGTTTTCCCCAGCGTGGTGCCTTCCAGACGTTTTGGGCTACAGCTCCCAGTATTCCCAGCATGGGCTATGTTGGGTGGGGCTGAGGGGAGCTGAGGTCCAGAACATCTGGGAACACCGGGTTAGGGATGGCTGATCTAAGGGCTGCACTCTGCATGTTGGCTTCCCCAAGTTTGGGGCATGTGTAGGTTTTCTAGGAAATGGAAGGTGAGTCTTCACAGCACTGAGAGCCTCTGTAAATGCTCAGGTGCCACCGGCCACCAAAGTGTCCAGGAATCCTGTTCACCCTGCCGCGCTTGCCCTTTTGTGGACTTCCGTTTATCATTTGTCACCGGCCTCCTGGCCCTCTCCATTGCGCCAAAACGGAGCCAGCCATTGCTGCCTTCGGGAAAGGGGACCCGCTGCTCCCCGCTGACAGTGGGGCACAAGAAGACGCTGCCCCCAGGTTAAGTGAAGCAACCCACTCGGGTGCTGGGGAAGTGGTTCTGTGGCTGCCACCGTGCCTTTGCGGGAGTCCAAGATGACTGGGCCGCTCTCAGCCATCCTCCCCTCTCCCTCCCACACACAAATAATGCCAGGAGATGTCGCCCTGCACTTCGCGCTTGTTTTTCCAAGCCGACTCGCTCTTGCTTTTACTGCCATGTTCCCATTTTTACAGAGCAGGCCTCCCTTAATTGCTCTTACTGTAGATCATCCAAAGCATATTATTTAAAGACCAGCTTTTGCACTGATTTACGCAGCTGCTCTTTGATTTGACATTTTTACGTTTGGAGGCTTATTTTTCTCATTATGGCCAAAGGAAGTTTCAGATAAGTATCATTTAATGTAGGGAGCCAAAACCCCAAGGACAACAGATTTCATTTTATGCTTCTCTCGTTCAAGTCAAGCAATCAGGATTCCTTTCCATCCTGTCCCTGCTTTTCATATTAATTTTCTTCCAGGCTGATTGTTGATATGGGGGAGAAAGAAGTTGAGGAGAAATAAAAGGCTTTACTGTCTCAAATAACACAACTGGGTTCTGTACGCTTTATGGTGATGAGGATGCCAATTCTGAAGGGACTGTTCCCACATTCTGCACCCACTTAATCATCCGGATTATTTTCAAGGGCAGCCCTATGAAGAGCACCCCAAGAAGTGGAACCAAATCAATCAATAAATAAACGTGTGTGGTAAACAGTCCATTTCAGAGAATTAGAGAGCTGTAATAATAGATGTCCTAGAGTTTTGTTCATGGCCAGTGTAACCTGATGCAAGGTCTTTACGTGAAGGTTGCCATCTGCTAGGAACAGGGAATCTGCTTAAATCCCCCTCGAAGTAAACCTTCGCAGTTCTGAGGCACTTTCTGGCAAAAAGGATCCCTTGCTTTTCGCAGAGCTCAGCGAGAGACGCACTTGAAAGACTTCCCCGTTCTTGCAGGTCTCCAGGACACAAATGCCCGGCCAAGCACAGTGGTGTCATTTCCCCGCTCACATTTCTATTTGTGAGTGGCCTGTTTTCTAATGCAGCACTGAGTTTTGCCGTTCACAACTCAATGGGCAGGTCATGTCAGCCCTCCCTGGCAAGCCGCGAACAACGCACCGTGGTCCCGAAGGCAATCAGGCTGATGGCGGGCCGTTCGCTCCCTTCCTCCCCACCTCTCTCGGTCCTCCAGGTGGTATCCCAGAGGACGCTGTGGGAGGACTGCATCGTCTCTCCCTCTTCCTTGCTGGGATAGCAAGCCAGGTTTGGCTCCCCACAGCTGTTCGCACTGCATTTTTCCCTTCAATAATCGTGAAATCAGGCTGCTGTTCCCTTCAAAAGGGAGAGCCTCATCTCCCCCCACCCCTCACCTTTAATCCCCACGAGGATGCGCGTCTTGAACCACCAGGGGCTCTGAAAAGTGCAGAAGTGCAAACTCTCTCCCTGCCTCCCTGCACGCAGTATCTACTGGCTGGGACATGCAGAGGCCTCCTCAGCGCAGCCCAGAGTTCGGGCAGCTGCTTTTCCTTAAAAAGCCCATCCATGGGGGATCATGAGGCTCTTGCTGCAATGGGGAGAGAAACGCTAACCCAAAACCCCTTTCGCTGGCAAAAATCCATCGTGCCACTGGCTTCTCTTGACATCTTGCCTTACAGCAACTGTCGAGACAAACCAAAGAGTAGGGGGGAAACATACTGGCTTTCTTTCTACCTGCTTCACCTTGCAGCAGACTTCGCCCCCAGGCACTGCCACTACCGAGGCTTCAGAGCACCATAGTTGCACAACTGTGAACCTTTACAATCGCACAATTGCAACTTTAGAAAAATAACCTTAAGATATGTACAAAAGATGTCATGCAAAACAGTATTTTTAAAAAAGAATGTTTCTGCTGGCCATGCCTTGGGCATTCGGAAGGGGCTGCCCCGAACAGTCACAGTGCAATGGCAAAGGGCAGCTTTCGTGATCTCCAAAATCAAATTAATACAATGAAATAAAAGTTGGAACTACACTGAAGGCACAGAAAATGCTTGGGGATCATGTGGGCGGGGAGCGTTCCAGCCCCTCCTGCTGCTGCTGGGGCCCTTGCGGGGTGGGTGGCACCGGTGGCGGCCGAGTGGCTTTTGCCAGTCTTCTACGAAAGTTGCTGGTCAAGGGTGAAACCCTCAGCAGAACTGGCCAGCCGCTTGTGGGCAACATGGCAACCCACTAGGAGTAGAACTCCTCATGGATTCCTGGGTGCTTTGATTGGAAAAATCAAGCCACTGGGGTAACCCGGGATGGGTCTGGAAATCGCAAAAGCCAGGGATGGCTCGCTGCCCAAGCTCATATCTTTGTTTTTGTTTTGTTTCTGCTTTTTTTTTTTCTTCCTTTTGGTCAAGTGAACCAGGTCACTGAGACCTACAAGCTGCACAGAAGGGTCTAATGTGTTCATCTCTGCAGTTACTGTTTGCTTGCCGTGAGTCAAACCTTCTTAATGCACACTGGCGCCGAAGCTGATACCAGCAAAAATGCCTTCTGCACCCATTTCTAGCTGGTTTCCATAATAGCATTAGAAAGAGCCTTGCGACACCAGGTTGCAGGTCCTGCTAATCCCACCACTTCTTTGCCACAGCAGTCAGAGGCCACGACAGTCATACCTGGGGCAGGAAGGCCATTCCCCACCCTGTCACCTTCCAAGTTCTGCTGCCTCTGCTGTGGAAAGTCCCTGGAACAATCCTTGCTGATGTCCCTAGCTTCCATCGGTGGCCGCCACGGCTGGCAAAAATCCCGCGCCGAGGTGGCGATGAAAAGGCATCTGTTCTGCAGGCAGGGAGGGTGCGCTGGCTGCCCAAAGTGCGTCCACATAGCCGCTCGAGGGCATGGTAGCTGCAAGAAACCCTGCCCACCCTGCCTCCCACGCTCTCGCAGCCAGTGGCACACGGAGCCCAAGCATCTGGGCGTGGCCCGTGCGGCTCCTGAAGCCGCCGTGGCAGCTGGCCGGAGCACGCGTTCCGTGCTGGCCGCAGGCTCTGGGGATCTGCATGGGCTTTCGAGGAGCTTTTCTCCACCTGCCACATCCTGCCCATCCTGTCAAGGGCCCCCCGCCAACCTATAGTGAGCAAAGCGCCCTGAGTGATTCCCGTCTTCTTTTCAGCTCGCAAGTTGAAGAAATTGGGTAACCTGAAGTTGCAAGAGGAAGGGGAGGCCGCTGGCCCATCAAGCCCCACGGAGGAGCAATCCCCAAAGATGTCGATGGTCCACCTTGAGACCCTGGATTGCCAGCCCATCTTCCTCAACGTCCTGGAAGCGATCGAGCCCGGCATGGTTTGTGCGGGCCACGACAACAACCAGCCCGACTCCTTCGCCGCCCTCCTGACCAGCTTGAACGAGCTCGGGGAGAGGCAGCTGGTGCACGTGGTGAAGTGGGCAAAGGCCTTGCCAGGTAAGGAGCTGCTCTGAGTTCTCCCCGTCTGCTTCCCCAGCGCGACCTGAAAGTAACGGGTCCAAAACGTCCCCCCCCCTTTTGCATTCTGGCCTGACACTTTTCCACCTGTGTTGCATCTGGCACTTCAAGTTATATTTCCACAAGCATGCTGAGATGTGCAGCGCCCCTTCATGGGTTCCTCCTTGCTCTCTAAGCTCCGCTCCTTCGGCTTACGTCCTGCTTTGTAACTTGCACCTCTGCCTCGACCAGAGAGGGTCAGGGTTCCCTGGCCTCCTTGTGGACAGGTCAAGCTCTTACCTGAGGGACATGAATGGGACTGGTCTTGTTATGTCACACACAGACCCCGTCACCCCAACGCAAACTGCAACACGTTGACTACAGTTTATTGTGCAGACTAGGTGAAATGCCCAGTTCACACCTCTGATTATTGCTGCTCAAATCTTTGCAGTTAAAATGATGTCTTCTTTCATTCTTTGCAGTTGAAATAATTGAAGCATGATATATTTTTAAAAATTGTGAATGTAAAAAAATAAAGGATGAGAAAAAACTCCATAGAACAATTTGGATGAAAACATTCCAGTATTTCAAAAAATATCCATGGACCCTCCAAAACTAGAAATTAATCTGCAAGCTGCAGTTCAGCCTTCCTGTGAAAGGCCACTTCCAACTGGAGTCGGGTCTTCCGGCCAATTCCAAAGTGCTTCTTCCTTAAGGGAAGCAATATGAGTAAAGTCTGAAAAGCCGCCCCGAGGCTACGGCATAGAAGTTCCCTAAATAAATAAATAAACAAATATGTTTGGGCTGCAGGAAAAAACAAGATGTTGACAGTTAAAATGGCTTGATATAAAATACATGCAGCCCTCTTTATAGCATACTGGCATTTCTGGTGCCTGTATTTTTCAGAGCCATAAAACTTCTCTTCAAGGATTTGTGTCTCTGTACCAGCATTTGCAGTGCACGGGCATGATGAATTGTCTTTCAGGGGGTTGCAGTCACAAAGAGAACCATCCCTTCATTCTTCCCTCCTTATACAGTTCCCCAAAACTTGTTGAAACTGAGGTGCAACCCGTGAGATCACAAGAATCCGCAATCATTTTATTCCACGTGTTTGTACTTTGGTTCACTACACGAGAAGCAAGTAGCAAGGCCTGAGTAGATCAGGAAACGTTTCGCCTGCTGGCATCATCTCCCTGTAGAAAGCGGTTGCGTAGGAGGATGCTGTCGAAAGTGTCTTTGCCCTTTTGGGAAAAGATGTTTGTTTTCTTTTGGTTCTGTTTGCAGCTGTTAGCTGCATTTTGTGATCAGATTTTTGCTCAGGGGGAGTGGTCCATAAAAAGCTACTAATGAAGCCCTTCCCATGGTCAATGAGCAGAAATGTGTGTCACAAGTTTAGGTCAAGAACATGCTATCTGCTAAGCTGAGCTGGGAAAAGGGACTTTAGCCTTCCTTACTACCCTGCAGTTTGATTCACTTGCTTGAGCTGTTTGGTGCAACTTTATTCACAGGGCACCAAAATTGGGTGCAGTTTTGGTCCTGCATTGAGCAGGGGTTGGACTGACGGCCTCTACTATTCTGTGATTCTGTGACTCTTTTCGGCAGTGCTTTCCGCTTTCTGCTTATGTCATGTTGTCTGCATATTGTGTGATCTGCTTTGTATGTGAATTGTGGGAAAACAACTTGACTTTACACCAGCAAATTAGATTCCAGGGCCCTCTCAATTCTGGCACACTTGGCTCCAGTTTAAGTAGGAGGTGTATTGTTTTCACTACAGTCAGAATCAAACGGTCGGATTCTGTTTCTAATTTTCATATCCTCACAGCAGTCGGTCCGTAAGAATGCAGATCACAATGGAACTGGTGAATGCCAAGCAAGGGACTCTCCTAGGCTTTCTGGGACAGATTTCTGGAAAATGAGGACATGGTCAGTAGGAACCCACTAGGATGGAATTTAAGGGCCATTGTACCTAGAGACAAACTTGAGTTTGATAGCAAGCAAGCATTGCAGCCATTCATGACTCCCCAGAAAGAGGAGTGCTGTGGCCAACAGGAAGCAAAGTTGGATCCTGGGCTGCAGAATTAAGTTTGCATGGCGCGTTGAGGCTAAGGAAGGCTGGTCGAGGACCTCAGTGCTGGGGGAGCTGGGCTGAACTATCAGAACTGAATGGCTTACCATGAAGTGCCAATACAAGAACTTCAGAGAGGGCCTGCAATGTCTTTCAATCTGCAATGCTCAGATTGAAAGGCTGCTTATTGTTGTGGATGGGCAGATCTTCAGCTTGACTTGGGTTCTTTTTTCGACTCTTCCAACAGATGTTTGGAAAATTTCTGAGCCAATTGCTTATCACTCTTCCGTTCACCAGAGTCCTTCTCCTCCTTTCTCTCTCTCCCCCTTCCTCCCCCCTCTCTCTGTCTCACCCCCCACCACAGGAGAAGACATCTGTCTTCTCTTTCTCTTATGGGGTCAGTTGGTGCAGGACAGGGGGAGCGCAGAGAGGAAGTTCTGCCCTTCCTCCCACTTCCTCTCCTCCCTCCCACTTCCCCTGCACCACAGAAGGTGGGAAGGCAGTTCATGCAGGGGGGAAAGAGAGAAGCAGCCCCCACCGTGGTCAGAACCTCGAAAGAGCAGCACTGTCCCAGGCATGGTCTTTCACCAAGTGAGACTTCTGAGTCCCGCTTTCCAGCTGTGCTTCTGCTTCTTTTAGGGGACATGTGGTTGTGTCTTCCTTCTCTTTATATTTATTATTTATGTATTTATATTGCGATTTATAGCCTGCCTTTTTCCTACAAAGGGCTCAGGGCAGCTTGCATCATTCTCCTCCTCCATCTTATCCCCACAACAAGAACCCTGTGAGGTGGGTTGGGCTGAGAGTCTGTGACTGGCCCAAAGTCACCCAGTGGGCTCCATGGCCGAGCGGGGACTCGAACCTGGATCGTCTGAGTCCCAGTCCCACACTCTTATCCACTGCGCCACACTGGCTCTTTGTCTTCGTTCTGTTGAGATCCAGTCCCTCCCAGACCACTCCCATGCTTCATACCCTGGAACCACCAACTTCTGGAGAGCTGTGGGAATCTCAGTTCTCTGATGGCAGAGTTCCTTCCTGAGGACACCCAGGAATCAGCATTCCCAGTCCAGGGAGCCAGCTTTGGCTTCCAGTTCTCCCATCCCGTCGCCAGATGCCACTGGCTTCTTTCCCCCTTGCTGCCACCGTTTCCCTTCAGTCGGATGTGTTTTCTCCCCACACCAGCCTGGCCTTCAGTCCACAAGGACATTCCACCTCCCATTTGCCCGGCCTCTCGCAGCCACCGCTGTGCCCCGTGGGGCTCACTTGCTCCCACTGTGTTGTTATTATTATTATTATTAGAACATTTCTATGCCAGAGTAGCCAGTGTTGCAAGAACCAAGCCAGAGTAGCCTCCATATTTTTATCAGCAAAAATGGGACAGATCTTTATGTAAAGCGACGGAAGGTAATTGCTCACTTAGCGACAATCAGCCACTTTTGTGATCATCCTGAAATGGGAAATACTTCTTCCGGATGTTAAAGGAAGTTGCTGTGAGGGAGGCATGCCCTGAATCTTGCTAGTGTGTCTGGTAAATCATTTTTGCAAGCTTATTTGAAAAACTTGCAAAGCATTTTTATCCAGAGATGATGGTGCGTGCATGTCTGCATACATCCATAGCCTGAGTGTAGCCTGAGTGTTACTTGTCCAGCATTTTCCCGAACATGTATCTTTCTCCACCCAGAGGCAAGTCTTTCTCTGATTTGTTCTGTGCATACAAATTTCTCCTCCTGGCATAAAGCACTTAAAACAGGGAAAAGCCGAGAGACCCTTCTTCTGTGCTGCATTTAAAAGGCACCTCTCCCTCTTACTTTCACCCTGAGGGCAGGAGACTGGCAGGCTTTTGGAAATGTCTGGCAGAACGAAAGGCTTGGGTCTCTAACCACACACCTGACGTTCAGCACCCACACCTCAGTGCCCAGGGCACCAGATGGCTCTACTTCAGCAGAGAGCCGGTCTCAAACCAGCTCGTTGGTTTGAGCCAAGCTGGAGGGATATATATGGTTTTTAAGGGATCAGTGACCTGTTAAGTCGCTTTTAAAAGGCACAATCCTGGTAAACATCTCCAAAATAGCCCCGTGTAACAGTTGACATTGTTCATAGTAAACATGTTAAAGCCATTCACCGACCACTGATGTAAAGGTTGCCTTTGCATATGGAGAACAGAATCATGGAGGGATGGGTGCCAATCTGAAGTTAAGCGCTAGGCATCAAGCACCGTGCGTTGCCAGGGATGCCTGGCTGTGCCAGCTGGTGGAATGATGCTCCTTTCTTATGCCTGAGCTCTGCAGTGTGTTGATTCTGATGCCGCAGCAGCTGCACATGGAAAGGGTGGCAGCATCCCCAGGGAAGGCAAGGGAACAGCCTGCATCCCTGGGGAGCAGCTGCTGCCAGTCGGTGTCAGCAGTGCTGCCCTAGATGGACCAGGTCTGATGCAGCAGAAGGCAGCTGCCCTTCTTGTCAACGAAAGGAAGCCCATCCCTTTGCCAGCCAAAGGGCAGGGAGAGGCCATCTGGGAGACCACCATCTGGGGCAGCAACAGCCATCCCTTGCGTCTGGAAAGTCTTAGACCCTCGGTGCAGGGCAGCCTCCTCCATGCTGATTTGGGAGTCAGTTCCCCCGCCGGACACTTTGCCCAGGGACAAGGCTGCGGCCTTAGCCTTCCAATGGGTGATCTGGCTCAGTGCCCAGCATGGGCGCACCACTGGTCTAGTCTGAACCCTGCCGCACCAGAGGCCTGTGGCTTCCCTCGCCAGGAGTCTTGCACTACGCCCTTAGGTTACATAAAGCCCCTGTCTGTTACATCCCACTGTGTTTTCCTTCTGCAATGCATGCTTGCCAGGAAATATACACACGTCAGGATGAGGGCTTGATTGAAAGCAATGATTTAAATGTGCTTTTCTTTGTCATTTAAATCATGATTTCAACGGATGCTTTA